GGAGCAGGGAGGGACCTGTATTCTTAATGATTTTTAAGACCCGTGGTCCTGATTTTGCATCTTCAGGGAAAGGTCAAATCTCATGTTTTGGCCGCCAGGAAAAAGCCAAAAAGCATCATCCATGACAAGAAAAGTGAATCCCCAGTGCACCAGGAACCAGTGCTGGCTGACCTGCCGCACACTTTTCCTTCCTCTGACCCTAGACTTTCACATCAACTAACACTTGTTCACATGTCCTTTAACACAACACGACAAATGGGGTAAAGGCAATGCTTAAGCTATTTGATTTCTGACTGTGACTCTGACACGCCTGCTCCATAGGGGAATGGAGCTCCATTAGGTCCTATCTCTCACTTGACTTTCATGATTACATAAGCAGATCCAGTCCTTCTGTTCGGTAAAGTAAAACAAAGAAATAAAAACAAACAGCAGCAATAACTATTATCTGTCTCTTTTAATTATTCTTTGTATCTTGCAATTGGCCAATGCTATAAGAAAATAACAGAATCTGTTAAAAAAAATGCTTTGCAAGTTCACAAAATCTAAAACACATTTATTACCCTACTTAGTCCGTAGGAAGAAAAATCTTTTTACTTGGACAAAACGGCAACCATATGAGCTGCCAAGAGACTGCATGATGGGGATTACTGATGTGGAGAGAGGGAAGGGAGAGAAACACATTGACAGATGGTGGGAGATAAAGATAGTCTTGGATTTTGGTCTCCTAACTAAGGTGCTGTGAGCTCTCCACCGGGACACAGTGATCAGCTGGGCACTCTTGGGTGACTTCCCGCGGAGTGCGGGGATGCTTGGAGAGGAGGCTGATCCCTTGATGTCTCCTTGCCTCTCGGGTCCATGAGTTGCAGTAGATGGTTTCCCAGGAAGAAAGCACCACGCCAAGCTTGAGCTTCCTGCCTCTATCTCCACCGCTTCCCTTTTGTCTCTATCTTTGTCAGATGAGAGAGGGCAGGACAGACCATCTCCTTTGCTTGTCATTCATTCATTCATTCACTCATTTAATAAATATTTATTCACTGAGTTTATGTGCCTAGAACCAAGTGAAGCAATAGAACATCGTGGTAGGTCAGGATGAGGTAAGAGGATAAAGGTGGCTCTGGTGTAAAAAAAAAACTCAACCCTTATCCATGCTTCAGAAAGAAAAGGGTGAATATTTGGTTCCTTTTCCGAATACTTTTAGCCTCATTTCCAATCAGGAGTTAAACGAATGACTCTACGACGTGCTCTTTTATACCGCCCTTCATCCCCTTGGGCTACAGGGGATTGACATTTCAATGACAAAGCGAGAGTTCAGAGTAAAACTACCTTTTCATGACATGTTTAACTAACACTGCATTATAACAGAACCTCAGTGGACACGCACATGACATCCACATAATTAGAGAACACATTATTTTTTATTAGTGCCATTCCCAATAATATAAAATTAATTTATACACACGGACCACAGCATGTAAAGTGTTACCAAGCATGGGTAACATCCTGACTCAGAGTCATAAAGGCAGCGACAGCTGTAACCTGCAGCTGGTTTTCTTTCCTTCCCAGATGCCCTCCTCGCCTCTCAGCATCCCCTGCTCTCTATTGATTTTCATTTAATTGTAATACTCTACAGCAAAACTTGAGAGAAATTAAATGGCAGGACTCTGACAGACAAAAGGCTGGTCAGCTCTTGAAGTCACTAGAGATAACCCCAGGGGGAGTCATGCGTAATTCCGCAGCTCCCAGTGTGCCTTCAGAGGGAATTCTATCAGCAGCAAGTTGACCTTGGCTGTTTCAGGGTCAGGGGTAGGTACAGTGGTGCAGGGAGGATTACGTCCCTGTTGTCCTTGTTCGGAGAAGTGGAATTTGGATGAAGCTGTCAATTCTATGAGTGCTCGTAGAAGCTGGAGATGATCAAGGAGCCAGCTTCAGAGTGGGGTGTATTTTCACCCCTCATCTGCACTCACCAGGCACACATTTTCCAGGCACCCCCAGAAGCCAAGCTCTATGCTCATCACTGGAAACTCAGCATCTTGGTTTAGACATGGAGGGGATGCCTTCGGGGCTTAGGATATTCCGTGTCGGTCCCTTCCAGGGCCTACTGTGTGATCAGTATTGCTAGGGCATCACCTCGGATCTTAAATCCTTGTCCTAAATTTTTTTTTATAGAAAAGTGACTTTTGAAACAGGTGGCATCTGAGATGCCCTGGATGACGATTAAGTAGCTCAAAGTGTGTCTGGTATTTTCCACCAAGTCCGTTTGGAGATCAGTTAACCATTTATCTTGTGCAAACTGCTCTCCTCTGAAAAGGTTTTTATGAGCTCAGAATGCTCATGACACTGTTTTCTTTTGTGCCTTTTTGGTAAGTTCGGATTTTTTTCCTTTACTGAAGTGCCACTTTTTAATGATCACATCAGTTCTGTGTTTCTTGGCTAGAGCAAATCGCTGTCATTTATGTCCCACCACTGCCTGGAGGCATTTTTTTCTTTCCAGTTGGTCTTTAACCTAATAACATACTTCTGTGTCTACACTAATGGCTTTGGGACGATGATAATGGGCAGAGGCTCGATTAAGAAACATTATGCACCATACTGTTCAGTCTTCTAGTGGGCAAGAATCCCTGAAGTGCAAGGGGGTCTCACTTTTGTCCCCAGTAGTCTAAATCCCTCCCCTGTTCATGCTTCACCGCCACCATCATCATTCTCCAAACGTTTTTTCTCAGGTTTACTGAAAACAGCATCTTAGGTGACAAACCCCTTACCTATCTGCCAATCCCAGGGCACCTTTAACAGCTCCTTGTGCTCCATTATAGCTCTGTGAATTGAAAGAAAGCAGGCCTGATGAGCAAGATCATAATGCATCCTACTTCTTGTTTTTTTCTCTCTTACCAGATTTATACAAATCATGAAGCAATCAACTGCATTTCAAAAGTAACTCGGGATTATGCAGAGACAAGTCTAATTAGGCAGCCTAGCCTAAGGTTTACCCCTGCAGGTCTGGCTGGGCGTGGGCAGCAGGGGTGAGAGCGAGCCGGCCGTCCTGCCCCCGCCCCTCCCCGCTTCCCATAGGCCTCTACCCTTTGCTTCTTGCTTAGATGCTTTCTAAAAAGAGTGAGGTTTGGCAAATCTCCACGCTTGTGGGTTTAATCCATTTTCTGACTGCGCACTCTCCAGGGCAATGGTTCTCCAACTTAAATGTACAAAAAAGCCCCCTGGAGAGTGTGTTAAAACAGTGTCCCGGGTCCCCTCCCTCGAGATTCTGATTCCGGAGATCTGGAGGAGGGGGGTGCCCAGGGATGTGGGTTTCTGGCAGGTTCTCATGTGCTGCCAGGGCTGCTCCTCAGAGAACTACACTCTGAGGAAGAACCACTGTTCTGGAAGAGGACCGGGAGGGGAGGGGAGACGGCTCCACCAGTGTCACTTTGGTTTCAGTGTGCCCTCAACGCGTCCCATTTGCCAAACACACCCCTGTGCTGCTTCCACTGTTTTAGCAGCATTGTCTCTGAAGCCCATCAGCTCTAATGGACTCTAACTGAAACAAATGAGTGCTAAGTCTCTGAATGTATCTTTTGGATTAAAGAATAACAATCTATAAAATGAGCCATCCGTCTCCAAAATGCTGGTTATGAACAGCTGAACTAGGCAATTTCTTTTCCTCTCACAAAGCTGAAGCACCAAATTTAGGAACTTTAAAATGCCATCATGCTTTCAAAATGAACCAAAAATAAATCTTTCTTAGAGAGTCTTCCCATCTCCACGCCTTGTCTGCTGTGGAGCTTTTCCGCTGTACCTCAGGATCCTGAAGTTTTGGAGGATTCCTAGAAACAGCCTATTTGCAAAACATGTTTTAAGTGATGCCAAAGTATCTTCCATAAATAATTTCAGACACTGACCAATACAGTTACAAAGTACTTGCTTTGGAGAAAGTGATTTGGTGAAATCAGAGTTACTTGTCTTGCAGAGAGGGATTTGGTGAAATGAGACAGGAGGTAATACTGTCATTCTTGATCTCTAATGTGAAACTAAAGTGCATGGTCTTTACTGACGGGAAAGTATGCTTTGTTTGACACTTGGTCTCACAACAATTTCCGAGGCCCTCGTCAGTGATGACTTACATGCAGCAATGCCAGAATTATTGCAAAATTGGTGTTTCTGACTTTTTGATGCTTAGTGAATGCCTGTGTTAAGTCTTCACCCATTTAAGGAAAATGGAAATACTAAATTTCTAAGAGATGAATTTGAAATATGGTTCACTCATATTTGTAAATCCATGGGCAATAAAAGAAAAAATTTATAAAAGGGCAAATTTAAACTTTAAGCTTTCCAATGGTGGTTACTAGTGAAACTAGTCTACTGGTTGTCACTAGTAAACAGAATGTCCCTCTTTGGAAGTGTATCAAATTATGGTATTTATACTTAATTTTTCTACTTCTCTAAGCAAAACCTCATTGGCTGGTTTGGGAGAATAAATGTATTCCTAAGGCTTTATCTTATTCTAAGGCTTTATCTTCAAAATCCATTAAATAAATTTATTAAAAAATTGTTTGGTTTGGAAGAAATTTTCTAGCAAAGATACTGAGTTTTCAGATTTCGTAAGACAGGTTTCCAGCTTTGATTTTTACAAAGTGAACAATCATACCCCAAATGAAAAAAAAAATACATAAGGACAAGCCCTAGCAGCATTTATGGCCTAGACTTCTTGTTATTTTTACTCACAACTGGATTCCACTGAAAAATGCCCCGAAGAGTCCAATCATCCCCAGGAATTCCACTCGGCTCAGGGTTCGGATGATGTATTCTTCCCAGACGTTAGAGATGCCGTAGAGCGTGGCTCCTCCCAAGACCAGAAGGTCCCCTACCAGCTTATTTTCCCCTAGGAACCGAAAAAACAGAGGAAACTTCAATAAAATTTTCCTAAGAATTTGGCACCAGCAAAATTAGCTTCCTATGCCTATTCTATTCTGACATTTTTATAGAATTTCTGTAATTTGCCAACTGAGATTCAGTAAAGTCCAGATATGCTGTGACTTAAAAAGGTCGCCCATGTCTACCCAACCAGAACTCTTCCCTAGGTAGGAGAGGCACCCGCTTCTTCTAGACTGCCCTCTGCAAAGCCCCAGTCTTCTGTTCAAGCGACAGGGATCACGGTTTGAATTTTTCAGCTCTTCTAAAGTAACATAAGAGTGAAACATGTACACAATTCATTATCACATTTAATATTTTTTTCTTTCATAAAAAATATCTATTTGTTCTAAATTCAATTTGGGTCAGTTTTGGTTTATGTCCAATCTCTCATAAATTCTGTACCTGGCTATTTCCTACAATTAGGCAAATTCTCTCCACTCCAGGAAGCATGAGACAGGGAAGGAGAGAGGAAGTCAGCAGCGGGTGGCCTCACGGGGTTTGGGCCCTTGTGCAGTCTGCGCACCTGTGCACAGGAGCTCAGCACACGCAGCTCCGGGGTAGGAGACGTGCAGGAGAGAAGGGTGTTCTCTCCAGCGTGATTCTAAGGCAGAGACGCCCCTCAGAGTAGCCTTGGGTTCCCAGAGTAGCGGGAACAATCTAAAATTGCAGAGTCGGATTCTCACTGCACAGTTAGGAGCCCTGAGCAGTCTTGAGGAAGAGGCTTCACATAAAAGAACCTGGGCTGGGAATGGGGAAAGAGCTCGTCACTCATGCCTCTGTGGTCACACCTGGAGATTATATATTTACCACAAATGGTGTTGCTTTTTCTAAGGCAACTTTCCACTCTTGGTAAGGGTCAGTGAGAGACCACGAAAGGCAGGAGAGCTTGCTGGGGTCACCCTTAAGGGGATGGAGCTGAGAATCTAGACCTGCGAGGGCTGGGAGCCCTCCCTGAGTTCACAGGGGCAGATGACCCAAGAATGTGATGAGGCTCCTATGAGAAACCAGACCTCCTGGGAAGTCCCTGGGTCCAACTTCTGGGGAAATTAAGAGCTGTAAGAGCAACCTGATTAATCTTTTTTATGTCTCAACTAGAAAATCATGACTAAACTTTAAATTTTAAGTAGTTCATTTGAGGAATAACCCGTAAAATAAAAAGCATCTATTACTAAGATGATAAAATTATAATGAACAAGATTCAGTCCCTTTTCATTCAAGAGCCATTTCAGAATCTTGTGATGATACTGTGACAGTGGTGCCATTATTACGAATATCAATTATTGTTGTATTAGTGATGTGCGGAAGTCCTGCTTGATAGAATTCTTGGTTAATGAAGTTAATTTTACATGAATGGATTCAAGAATGCTAATTATAATGGAATATTTTAACAGAAATTAGGGAAACATCAGTCTATCTTTTAAAAGTCCACACTACTTCAATGAATAGTCTCACCAATCTTTCTCAAACTCCACATCTGTACCATCATGGCCTATTTGGTTCACTGGCCTTTGACTACATGAAGTCTACTCCCCAGTACTTTGAATTTTCGCCAGTGCAGTGAAGATTATTGCTAATAATAATACAGTGTTGTGAAACTGCAAGTTCAGAAGTACCTCCTAAGTAATCAGTGACTAGAAAGATTAAATATTATTTATTAAAATTTCAGTAGTAAGTGTATTTATCAGTTTTTAAGTCATTTAAAAATGGATACACATACATATAGCATGTATGAAATTTTAGATGATTAAATATAATTGAATTAACCAGGATATGACTTTATCCAGCCATATTATACAACAAAGTGTTTGATATGAAATAAATAGAAGAAAGTACTAGGGTTAATATTTTGTATCTACAATTTGTACCTAGTTAACCGGAAATTACAACATATCACTCCACATTTCATGCACTATTAATGGAATACATTCCTGACATGGTGGAACCAGTTTCTGTGCAATGTTCATGGGGAAAATTATATCCAGCAGATCTGTCATTTATGTATGGATGAAACCACAATGAGTGATAATGTTTTGCAAATTTGGTGTAAATGGACACATCTGAAACTATGAGAAGTCCATTCAACCCAGTGCCTTCTTTCTCTCCTCTGAATTTCACACCACGGTAGCTGTGCACGGCCCCCACCGCATTCTGCCCCGTGGCTGTTACCTGTTAGTATGCGTGTCTTCCCCTCCACCCCTGTGTTCTTACCCAGCAGGCCTGAGGGGCTTAGACATGTCTCACTTGGCTTTACATTCTGTGTGGTCCCTAGCACGGGTCCTGGCACGATATAAACTCTCAGTAAATGTTTAAGTGAGTTGAGCTGACAGAAAAGGTCTTAGTCTACCCCCATGGTAAAGATTTTGAGTGGCGACTGAATCTTTCATTTCAGGTAGACATGGGTTCTAATCACATAT